CAATGGTACTCAAAGAATCCCTGCCAGAATTTCCAATGGTGCTTGCAAGATCCCTGGCAGTATATATAATGGTACAAACCAGGGGTGGACTGACAACTCATGGGGCCCCCGGGCAATAGGGGATCATGGGGCCCCTGTGTCCTTGCCCAAACTCAAAAAAGCCTATGAAAAAGGTACCAGGGAAACCAGAATAACACAAGCCATGATACACGCAAAGGTGGAAGCCACAATCCTTGACACGATCCCTAAATTCTTACATATTTGGAGTCCCTGGGTTTCCTCCCGCCTAACTTTGACGAATCACTTCTTCTCCCATGATTTGTATACTGGGCACCCTAGCTATTGCCAATGACACTCCTCATGCAGTGCATAGGTGTTGCCATTCTCTCAATTGACGTTCATGGAGTCATCATTGCTGTTCTTCCCCCCCCCCCCCCTTTTTTTTCCCACCCCTGTTTGACCCTCCTCTACATTTCCCCATCCCTCTATTATGTTCCAGTTAGCCATTACCCCGACTGGTCAAATTTGCAACATCTTTTGTAAATAATTTCTAATCATTTGTTACTATCAGAAATGTAATGACATTGGTGCTGCGTCTTTATTTTTTATCTCTTGTAATCAGTACAATGCCCAATGTACATTGGTAATGTCTACCTGTCCTTGTCACATTGTTTAATTATTAATAAAATGTTTGAACAAGAAAAAAGGTACCAGGGAGATCTCATGGGGCCCCCTACTGACCCCGGGCCCTCGGGCAGTGCCTGAGTTTCCAAATGGTCAGTCCGCCCCTGATACAAACAAAATCCCTGCCAGTGTTTCCAATGGTACTTGCAGAATCCCAGCCAGAACTTCCAATGGCACTTTCAGAATCCCTGCCAGAATTTCCAATGGTACTCGCAGAATCCCTTCCAGTGTTTCCAATGGCGCTTTCCAAATCCCTGACAGTATTTCTAATGGTACTTGCAGGATCCCTGTCAGAACTTCCAATGGCACTCGCAGAATCCCTGCCAGTATTTCTAATGTTACTTGTCAAATCTTTGCCAGGACTTTCAGAGATCCCTGAAATGACTCTGGGTGTGTCCTCTGATCCAAAGGGTATTTAAGCTCTAACTAAAGTAAGTGGTGCTGTGTCTTCAAATCAGCTACCCACGGGCAAGAGTTCTAATACAAAAACCTGTTGTTGCTAACCTTAATTGTCTGACTATTCTCTCCTCTTCTGCCATCTTTGTTGCTGACCTAGACTGTATGACTACCCTGTGCTTGCTGATTCTCAACATCCCCACCTAAACTTGACTACTCCTTTGTCTCCAGCCTTGTTTACTGCCTCCTGATTGGCTGACTTCTCTGCTTGCTGTCTGCCACGACCCCAAGACTCTCATACCTGCTAGCCCTTGGTGGGGCAATTCCAAGGGCTGTAGCCTGGTGCTAGTTTCAGCTAAAAGTTCTGGGGACAACTAGGGTTTCTGGACTACCTCTACCACCAGGAGCTCTGGTGAAGGCCAACTGGTACTTAGAATCCATGCCTTGAGAGAGCTTAGGCTGTCTGCTAGATGGTATTGTAACAGTGAGGGTGACACCATCCTCCTTCTGGCCCAGATCTCCGAGATCTCACGAGAGCTCAGGTTGTCTGCTAGATGGTATTGTAACAGTGGGGGTGACACCATCCTCCTTCTGGCCATATCTCTGAGATCTTACGAGAGCTTAGGTCATCTGCTAGATGGTATTGTAACAGTGAGGGTGACACCATCCTCCTTCTGGCCATATCTCCAAGATCTCACGAGAGCTCAGGTCGTCTGCTAGATGGTATTGTAACAGTGAGGGTGACACCATCCTCCTTCTGGCCATATCTCCAAGATCTCACGAGAGCTTAGGTCGTCTGCTAGATGGTATTGTAACAGTGAGGGTGACACCATCCTCCTTCTGGCCATATCTCCGAGATCTCACGAGAAGATGATCCTACACTGTGCTGCAGCATCTTCTTCTGAGATTTGGGGTACTCCACATTAACAAGTATCTTGTCGGCAGGAGTATGACACTACCCCCTGTGCTATGAAAGTCAGGGACATCACCCCCCTGCACTGGAAGTACCCTCCCAGATAGCGGTGTTTTATGGAGGTAACACCTTGAATAAGTGGACTTGCCACTGAGGTGAATGGTCCACTTTGATACAGACTGTGCTGGCTGGACTCTTGCAGAGCTACAGCTCCTTCCCCATCCATCTGCTTGATCGAATCTAATGGCAGTTGGGTGGAAACGGACAGGCGGTCCGCTTCCATCCAACTGCCCCATAGAGGACAGCAGGCTGTGTCTGTGTCCGCTCTGCAGCAGTGGAGCGGACACAGACCTGTCATCCACCTGCTCAGCGAAGATCAGCGGTGAGATGATGAGCTGTTGAGTCCACCCCATCTGAAAGGGGCCTTCAGGTTAGAATTTGTGATGACTGTGACCTTCGATGCTTGTGACCAGGGGCGGACTGACAACTCATGGGGCCCCCGGGCAATAGGGGATCATGGGGCTCCTGTGTCCTTGCCCAAACTCAAAAAAGCCTATGAAAAAGGTATCAGGGGCATCTCATGGGGCCCCCTACTGACCCCGGGCCCTTGGGCAGTGCCCGAGTTTCCAAACAGTCAGTCCGCCCCTGCTTGTGACATTGGTCTAATTAATTTTTTATAAATAGACCTTATAATGTTTCTATTTATCAGCAATATATAGGAACATAATATCACAATTTGGATGCGTCCTATAAATGTGGTGAAAACGATACCAGGCACAGATCTTTTTACTGTAAATTTCTATAAAACGAAGGAGGAAAAAAGGCAGTCGATCATCATTGTTCCGTACAATTATTAGAAATTGAAAGCAATAAACATCATTCAAAACGATTACGGACGCATTTAAAATAAAAACTTGTAGCACTGCTACACTGAGGAACAATGGTAGGATGAGGCTGGCCGTGATAGCGGAGGGAAGGTTTTGTCTGTTTCGAGTTACCTTCATTGGTTCCAACATGCCGGTGTGCTGGAGATTTATGGCCTGTTTGTGAGACTTTGCTTGGTAAATTCTACATAAATATTAGCACAGCATATAAATTCCCAACTGGATGTCTTGGCCAGATTTCCAGCCTGTCATGGTAAAGATTTTTTTACGGTTATGAAGTGTGTATTTTTACAGGTAACTGATCTTCATATGTCATTATCACAGCTCTCTTCTCCAAGAACGATCCCCCACCAAAGTTCTCTGCCAACCAGAACCCTCCTCCTCCACCTTGGCCAAGACAAAGAACAATTATTCCACCTGGAAGGGTAGGCTGCTAAATCCTCTGAGCATCTTTACCTCCAGGAAACTGGAGGTAAAGATGAGGAAAAATGTCACCGACATAAATCTTGGATGGATCTGGAACACAAGTTGGACCACCTGTTGGAGGCTTCTTCCAAGGGATGGAGTAGAAAACTGACATATTGTGCAATAATCTGAAAAGGTTTATTACTCAAAGGATGAATTACATCTATACGTTACGGGCTCTCAAAGTGCGCCTCCCGCCACCAACCTTGCGGCACCCTCATTGGTACCATTCCTCTAGGGACCATGGGAAAACTGCTCATACAGGAACTCTGGGAACATCTATTCTCGTATCCCTCTGTGGCTAACGATCCCGACACGTATTACGTCACTTCTGGGGTCACAGTTGTCATTTCTCAGCTAGTGTAGTCGAGGATGCAGCTATTCAAACACAATCTGTGCTTGAATGGTTGTATTGAAGGGCAGGGAAGACATTGGGGGTCTAATAGACCTCCAACATCTCCACAAGGAAAGACCTGCCCATATAGTATACAATAGAAACTGAAACTAAGCATCAGTTCTCTCTGCTCTCACTGTGAAAGCAGAGCCAATGCTGCAGCCTAGAGTGTACAGCAGTCTGTCACAGTGCATAACACCTAGCACCATGATCACCGCCATACCCATACCAGCGTCCTGATCACCGCCATACCCCATACCAGCATCCTGATCACCGCCATACCCCATACCAGCACCATGATCACCACCATACCCCATACCAGCATCCTGATCACCGCCATACCCCATACCAGCATCCTGATCACCGCCATACCCGCGTCCTGATCACCGCCATACACCGCCATACCCATACCAGCACCATGATCACCGCCATACCCCATACCAGCGTCCTGATCACCGCCATACCCCATACCAGCGTCCTGATCACCCCATACCAGCGTCCTGATTCACCGCCATACCCCATACCAGCACCATGATCACCGCCATACCCCCATACCAGCGTCCTGATCACCGCCATACCCCATACCAGCATCCTGATCACCGCCATACCTCATACCAGCATCCTGATCACCGCCATACCTCATACCAGCATCCTGATCACCGCCATACCCCATACCAGTATCCTGATCACCGCCATACCCAGGAGCGGACTGACAACTCATGCAATAGGGGATCATGGGGCCCCTCGGTGTCCTTGCCCAAACTCAAAAAAAAGCCTATGAAAAAGGTACCAGGGGCATTTCATGGGGCCCACTACTGACCCCGGGCCCTCGGGCAGTGCCCGAGTTTTCCAAAATGGTCAGTCCGCCCCTGGCCATACCCCCATACCAGCGTCCTGATCACCGCCATACACCATACCAGTGTCCTGATCACCGCCATACCCGATACCAGCACCATGATCACCGCCATACCCCATGCCAGCGTCCTGATCACCGCATACCTCATACCAGCGTCCTGATCACCGCCATACCCCATACCAGCATCCTGATCACCGCCCGCATACCCCATTACCAGCGTCCTGATCACCGCCATACCCCATACCAGCGTCCTGATCCACCAGCCATACCTCATACCAGCACCATGATCACCGCCATACCCCATACCAGCGTCCTGATCACCACCATACCCCATACCAGTGTGTCCTGATCACAGCCACACCTCCTACCAGCACCATGATCACCGCCATACCCCATACCAGCGTCCTGATCACAGCCATACCTCATACCAGCACCATGATCACCGCCATACCCCATACCAGCGTCCTGATCACCGCCATACCTCATACCAGCGACTTGATCACTGCCATACCCCATACCAGCGTCCTGATCATGCCATACCTCATACCAGCATCCTGATCACCGCCATACCTCATACCAGCATCCTTGATCACCACCATACCCCATACCAGCATCCTGATCACAGCCATACCCCATACCAGCATCCTGATCACCACCATACCCCATACCAGCATCCTGATCTCCGCCATACCCCATACCAGCGTCCTGATCACCGCCATACCCCATACCAGCATCCTGATCACCACCATCACCCCCTCATACCAGCATCCTGATCACCACCATACCTCATACCAGCATCCTGATCACCGCCATACCCCATACCAGCGTCCTGATCACCACCATACCCTATACCAGCACCCTGATCACCGCCATACCCCATACCAGCGTCCTGATCACCGCCAACTGCCATACCAGCATCCTGATCACCACCATACCCCCATACCAGCATCCTGATCACCACCAACTGCCATTACCAGCATCCTGATCACCACCATACCCCATACCCAGCATCCTGATCACCACCATACCCCATACCAGCACCATGATCACTGCCATACCCCATACCAGCATCTAGCATTTTAGGGTCTCAACTAATCAATTTTCAGATATATATCCCATAGTTTGTAGACTCTATAGCTTTCACACAGACTAAATAATAATACACAATTATCTGGGTTATTTCTACAAAGAAAATGTAGCAGAATACATTTTGCCTAAATTTATGTAGAAAAAGATTATTTATTTGCAAAATTTTATAACAAAAACTAAGCAAAAATTATCTCTTTTAAAAATTTTCGGGTTTTTTTTCGATTGTTTAGCAAAAAATAAAAAATCCAGCGGTGATCTAATACCACCAAAAAAGAGTTCTGTCTCAAAAAAATGTTAAACATTTCATATGGGTACAGTGTTGCATGACGGAGTAATTGTCACTCAAAGTGTGATAGCGCTGAAAGCTGAAAAACTGCCCTGGACTGGGAGGGGGGGAAAGTGTCTGGACTTGAAATGGTTAAATTGTTGCCTATGGAGAATTTTGGGAACCATATTTTTGCAATTTCACAATCTTCAGACTTGATATGTTTGGTTTCTATTTACTCAACGTAACCCAATCTTTTATATTTGACCAAATTTGTGTATAATATTGTGTTTGTTTACCCTAAAATTGTATTTTATCCTGAAAATATGCATTTGATTAAATTGCTACTGAACTATCATGTGACATAAAAAAAATGCAACTACCACCATATTTTTATTTTGCACGTTTTTTTTTGCTTTCAGAAAATATATATTTTTTGAGGGGTTTTATTTCTGGCAAAAAAAAAAGCAGATTTTAATGTGTGCAAAATGTAAAAAATTGCCTTAGTAGGCAAGTGGTTAAATTAGAGAGAGACAGTCATAAAGGAATCAGCTGCTTTGCTGTCCTTTAGAAAACAAAGAATGCTCTGCAAAGCCAGTGCTATGGGTGCGCTGTGTGTTATATGTTTACTTGCAAAAGAAATACCGTATTTTTTCTCTCCATAAGACGCACTTTTACCCCCCCAAGAAATGGGGGAAAATGTCTGTGCATCTTATGGAGCAAATATTGAGCGGCTAGCCCTGCTGCTGGGTCCTACCTGTTCCTCGGTCCAGCGGTGTCCTCACAATCTTCTCTCCCCGGCACCGGCATCTTTAGTGTGGGCAACCGGCTGTGACAGCCTGAGGCTTCACAATTAGGGGCCCACTGCGCATGCGCGAGGAGCGCTGCGCTTTGTGAATGGCCCCGTAGTCCCTGGTCATCCCCTGTACTATGTCTGCAGTCTCTGGTCATGTCCTGTACTATGTCTACAGTCTCTGCTCATCTTCTGTACTACATCTGCAGTCTCTGGTCATCTCCTGTATTATGTCCGCAGTCTCTGGTCATCTCCTGTACTGTCCGCAGTCTCTGGTCATCTCCTGTACTGTGTCCGCAGTCTCTGGTCATCTCCTGTACTATGTCCGCAGTCTCTGGTCATCTCCTGTACTGTGTCCGCAGTCTCTGGTCATCTCCTGTACTATGTCCGCAGTCTCTGGTCATCTCCTGTACTATGTCCGCAGTCTCTGGTCATCTCCTGTACTATGTCCGCAGTCTCTGGTCATCTCCTGTACTGTGTCCGCAGTCTCTGGTCATCTCCTATACTGTGTCCGCAGTCTCTGGTCATCTCCTGTACTATCTCCACAGTCTCTTAGTATGTCCTGTACTATGTCCGCAGTCTCTGGTCATCTCCTGTACTATGTCCGCAGTCTCTGGTCATCTCCTGTACTATCTCCACAGTCTCTTAGTATGTCCTGTACTGTGTCTGCAGTCTCTGGTCATCTCCTGTACTGTGTCCGCAGTCTCTGGTCATCTCCTGTACTGTGTCCGCAGTCTCTGGTCATCCCTGTGCTGTCCGCAGTCTCTTGTCATCTCCTGTACTGTGTCCGCAGTCTCTGGTCATCTCCTGTACTGTGTCCGCAGTCTCTGGTCATCTCCTGTACTATGTCCGCAGTCTCTTGTCATCTCCTGTACTGTGTCCGCAGTCTCTGGTCATCTCCTGTACTATGTCAGCAGTCTCTGGTCATCTCCTGTACTGTGTATACAGTCTCCGGTCATCTCCTGTACTATGTCCGCAGTCTCTTGTCATCTCCTGTACCGTGTCCCAGTCTCTGGTCATCTCCTGTACTATGTCCGCAGTCTCTTGTCATCTCCTGTACTGTGTCCGCAGTCTCTGGTCATCTCCTGTACTATGTCTGCAGTCTCTGGTCATCTCCTGTACTATGTCAGCAGTCTCTGGTCATCTCCTGTACTGTGTATACAGTCTCCGGTCATCTCCTGTACATTTTCTGTCTGCAGTCCATTGGTTCAGAATATTTTTTTTTCTTGTCTTCCTCCTCTAAAACCTAGCTGCGTTTTATGGTCAGGTGCATCTTATGGAGCAAAAAATACGATATTTATTATATATAACAATGCAAAATGCGTGCGTTGCAACAACGCATAAGTTTGAATGAGCCCTCGAAGTTTGCGGTGGAACACCTGAAAATTTACAAACTCAGAAGTACAGAAAAACAAATCATATTCCATCTTATCCCTGCGATTTTCCACCATTTAAATTTCACGAAACTGCCAGGTGCGGATCCCGGGGCAATTAAGGCATTTAGAGGCCGCGCTCGCAGTTTCACTAAATTAACAGCTGATAAAATATCCTTTAAAATTGCAGTAAGTTCTCCCAGAACTCACCCGGGTTCCAGCATCCCGGGATCTCACGGCTGCTAATTGCTGCACTGTCTTCTCCTGCCAGTTGACTCATCAGGAACGCTAATTTGGCCGAAGACACAAACCAATTATTTTATTTTATTTTTCTGAGCCGACAAGGAAACGTCAAATTTCCTTTTTACATAATAGGGAGGTTTTGTGATTAAAATTCAATAAACTTCAGAGACTGGCATAAATATTGGGATACTATTTCCTTCCTGGCTTTTGGGGAGGGCGGTGATTTCGAGGGTTTGGGACAGCTGGTCCCACGATGGTGTCAGTAAAATTAAAATAAATTGGCAGTAAAGTTGTCTTCAAAGACCAAAGTCTGTTTTTAATTTGCTTGTAAGCAGAAAACCTGTTAAAATGTATGTATAGCCATATATTTTTTTTATTTAACTTTGGTATAGCGTAAGGGTTTCCAATCTATGGTCTATGGGTGGCTAAATGGTTAGCACTTCCGCTGTCAGGGCTCCAGGTATTCCCAGAAATGTGTGGACTGACACAGGGAAACGCAGGCTTCGGGCATAGTATAAATAATACAATTTATTAAAGACTAACAATACATAAACGCAGTGCAAAACATAACACAGTGCAACAAACCAAACCTCTAACAAACAACCATACATACAACACTAAACGTAGTCGGGCAGGCCGAGTCGGTAGCAAACGGGCAAACAAGGTACCAGGAGCAGGTGGGAGAGAAGTCAGGACTAGCCGAGGTCGGTACAGGCAGAGTTCGTGCAGAATCAGGATAGAAGCAAGCAGGATCAGTATACCGGGGCCAAGCGTAACAGTACAACAAGGCACTGACTGCAGGTCTGGCCATTCCTTAAATACACCTCCTGCAATCAGCCTCAGGTGATGGCTGATTGCAGGAGCGAGCCTCTGGTTGCTGAGAGCACCCGCTGGCCAGCCCTGGTACTGCAGCCCACAAGGCAAGTGAGTTCCACCACCATTGGCGAGTCCATTCCTGACATCCGCCTGGCAGTAGTAGGGTCGTTGGTTCGAATCCCAACCACGGCACCACCTGCCTGGAGTTTGCATGTTCTCCCTGTGCTTGTGTGGGTTTCCTCCGGGTACTCCGGTTTCTTCCCACACTCCAAAGACATGCTGGAAGGTGATTTGGCTCCTGTCTAAATTGTCCCTAGTATGTGTATGTATGAATGTATGTTAGGGACCTTAGATTGTACGCCCCTTGAGGGTTAGGGACTGATGTGAATGTACTATATATATGTAAAGCGCGGCATAAATTGACGGCACTATATAAGTACCTGGAATAAATAAATAGACACATTATTATTATACAGAATTTATAAAGCGCCAACAGTTTGCTGAGCGCTTTACATTATAAAAGGAGACAGTACACGAGACAGTACAGTAACAATACGATTCAATACACGAGGGGTTCGAGGGCCCTGCTCCTTGGAGCTTACAATCTAGGAGGGAGGAGAGAGTGGTACAGGAGGATATAGCTGTGGGGGATGGAGTGGTAGGAAGAGTGGAGGAGTTCAGTAATTAGCTGAGGGCATGGTAGGTTTCCCTGAAGAGATGGGTTTTCAGAGAGCGCCTAAAGGTGAGGAGAGTAGGTGACAGTCTGATGGATTGGGGTAGGGAGTTCCAGAGAATGGGGGAAGCCCTGGAGACGGGCATGGGAGGAGGAGACCAGGGAACTAGAGAGTAGGAGGTCTTGTGAGGAGTGGAGAGTACGTTTTGGGTGGTATTTGGATACCAGATCGGTGATGTAGTTTGGGGCAGTGTTATGTACGGCTTTATAAGTCAATGTTAGCATTTTGAATTTGATCCGTTGGGCAATCGGAAGCCAGTGGAGGGATTGGCAGAGGGGGGTGGCGGATACGGAGCAGTTAGTAAGGTGGATGTCAGGGATCCCGGTATGACCAGAGGTGTGTGGACTGACACAGGGAAACGCAGGCTTCACATATGGTATAAACAATATAATTTATTAAGACTAACAATACAAAACGCAGTGCAAACAAACCAAACCACCCACCGATAACAATACATACAATACAAAGGGTAGTCAGGCAGGCCGGGTCAGTAGCAAACGGGCAAATGGAGTACCAGGAACAGGTGGGAGAGTGGTCGGGGTCACAAGCTGGGTTCAGTAACTCACGGGCAGCGCAGTACAGAGGGTCGGGCAGAGAATGGTCAGGGTCACAAGCCAGGGATCAAGCAGGAGAAGTCAGCAGAGGTCAGGATCAGGCAGGGTCGGCAACAAGTCAGACAGGAACAGGAATACAGGATACAAGGTACAGGGGCCCATGGAAAAACACACACCAAGGCCCTGACTGTGAGTC